ATCCAAATATCAAATGTAGAATTAAACTTGAAAAAACATTATTTTCTACATCCTCATCCTGAATCTGAATACCACAATTTAGAGTTAACCACAAACCTTCTGATTTTCAAAATAAGTTTTCCTGTAAATTTGGTTGTTTGCTGAAGCTGTGTCAAATGCATGGTGCCCCCCCTTTAAAAATAGGGGTTTAATGTCCCTGCATAGATGCCACGGCTGCTGATTTGAAGTTTCATGTAGTAAACTGCACGCTATTCAGTTTGTCAATCTCAGAGGGCTCTGGTCAATAAACCATACGGGGATTTGAACCTGCTTACAACCACAATCTGTAGAATAGTCAGCTTAGAGCTCAGACTTCTAAGCCACAACTTTTGGTCTTTAGTGGTGCTTTTACTTCAAGGTTTGCTAAATAAAGTTCAGGAGATAGCACATTTCAATGGGCCATTTCAGTTGTAGTGGGGTTTGCTAACTAATACAGAGAAAGGAATGGTTCTCTCTGACTCATCTGTGGTTTTAGTGTCAGACAGTGCGTCAGCAGAAGAGAAGGAGAAGTTTGCTGTGGTATGAGAATGTTAGAGGCCCAATGTGGAAGAACCATGCTACTGTCAAGTACATTGACTGAGGCTACAGCAGTAAAGAACTGTTCCTGTAAGGGGACAGTTAAGGAAGCCAGCTGGGGCACTGGGATTTCTGAGCGGTGTTAGCAATTTCAGCCTATGCTCTATGGACTTTGCATGCATGGGCTAAAGTTTGTGGATTCATCAGACAGAAAACCCAACATCAGATGTGATTAGTCTGAGGTTCACCGTGGGTTTTTCACCCAGCTCTAGCGGTTATTGCACTACTCCCTTTACTATAGAGATACTTTCCCAACTCTAAAGGAGTCAAGTGGCATTCAGCACATCACTTGTCCTTGCCAATGTTTGACTCAAACCAAGGCAACTAATTCCTCATTTCTAGGAGCATGAAATTCACACAAATTGGAAAACGGGGGAAAATTCCTCTTAAAGAAAAGAGACCCCAGCCAAACTGAGCCCCTGTGGATATTTAATTGAGAGACTGAGATAATTAATTTAAAAAGGAAAATTTAGCAAAGAGAAAGGAGTATTTAGCAAGAGTGAAGGGGAGCTGCCTTCCATTATGGTTTGCTAAACTGTCTCCCTAGTGAATAGGGCATTTAAATGTAGGCAGAATTATTTCACTTAAAGCACAGAGATTGAATATTTGCAATCAGAGCCTATTTGCAGGTGTTTAGATCCTGGGTTTTGGTCAGGCCCTTTTGTAACAAAGTAAAGTAAACACATGTAGGAAAGCAGGATGAGCAGGAAAATATGCTGCTGTTTCACCCTCCCAACACCTGAGTCACGGCACTCTTCCCTTTCCTGTCATCTACTGTAACTGCTCTCTTGATTCCTCCCACCGTTTACTGTCATACCATTCCCTACTCTTAGACCAGCATCCTGGTCATCCTCCCATCCTTTCTTCTATAATCTCCTCACTGACCATGAGCCTTCTCCTCGTGCTAAAACTGTTGTCTCATGTATTGTATTTGTCAGACTTAGACTGCAAGATCTTTAGGGCTGGGAACTTGCTTTGCTTTTATTCTGCAAAACACTGTATGCAATAAAGATTAGAGATTAGTTTCAGAGACAATTTTGCATGGAAAAAAAAAAAGATGGAGAGATGAAGCAAGAAAGGTGAAGATTCAGAGGACAAGTGGACTGTCCCTCCCCAGCAATTCTTTATGTCCTTATTTGAATAGGTCACTGTCCGCAAATGTTCTTTACTAATATCCATCAACAGCTACAACATGTTTCAGCATGAGCTCTTTGACAAAGGAAAGTGCTTGTGCCAGGAGGCAGCTTCTGATCTCCTAAAAAAAACCTGTTTTCAGGCCATATTGTTACTATTACTGACATATTGATACTATTTAGGCCCAGTCATGCTTTCAATAGGAGCATCCCATTAGAAGCCTGTCATTCTGTCACTGAATAAACCTGGTGAGTAGCCTGCATTGCATATACTTAAATTTGTAGCTACTTGAAGAGAATCATAACCAGGACTGGCTAAATTCTGCCTTTAGCTACACACTATTTTATTGGCTGGGAAGGGAAGAATTTGGCTACAATGTTTATTTCACCACTTCATGATTCTTGGTTGGAATATTTCATACATAACTCACCTTTTCTGAATGACTGAAATGAATCATTCCTAAAGCCTTCATTCAATAGGTAGTCTGTTCTTCTGTTTTGGGGAGTTATAGTTATTGCTTAGAATGATATTGGGTTATAGTTTTGGGAGTTATATCTATTTATTGACCAGACTGTTTAATCTTCTCCATTATAGAATACATATAAATCTAATTTTGAGTTTGCACTTCAAAAAATAATTTTTATAGGACCAGATTTACTCTTAGTTACATTGGAGTAAATCCAGATTTTGGAGTTCTTCCAGCCTCATGTTTGTGTAACTGTGAGAGTAGAATTTGGCCCATCATATCTTACATTCTGGTTTCCAAATTAGATATATCCCCAACATAACGCTACATGGGATTAACTTTCTGTTCGTTTTCTCCTGTCTCCAGTAGTCCAATAGCAACCAATAGTCCTGATTATTTATCAGTCTATTTCCTTGATCACCATTTTGCTACTTTCTCCCCACCACTCTAGTATAGGAAACCAGCTGTAGGAGTAGACTGGGAAAGTTAAATATGGAATAATAAACTTAGGTCACATCTGGAGAAATGGACTGGGAAATCATATCCTTTTGGGGAAGTATGTAAAGAAGCTAATAAGAACCCTTTCTAATCATTCCAGGAGGAAAGTATCTCATCTATGGTATCTCTACAGTTCCCATCACCATAGTATGTGTATTCTGAACACTGCAGTTTAGATCTACAGAGCATTGTCCAGAGAGGACTTTGGAGATTCTCTTTGCACATTACCATTTGAACGCAATAGAATCAGCACCAAAAATATCCTTTGATTTGATCATAAACATGAAATGAAGATTCTAGTAACATTCTACCATTTTCTGAAGAGACCTCCTACTTCAATTCAGTGGAAGAAAGTCTCCCCCCCCCCCCCCAGACTGGAGAATACCTTAGTCTTGGAAATTAGAAAAGCCCAAGCAGAGTCTGACTAATGGTTTTGTGTTATGAACAGTAAGGCTTATGCGCTCATTCCAACAAATCCTACGTTAGCCACTAACAACCAGCTTAATCTCCTTTGAAGCATCTGCAACAAGCACATTTCACCATTCCTACATTTCTAATTCAAAAAGATCCAACTAATTGCTACAAGCAATTTTCAGTATACGGTGCTACACTGCTGTAAATAAATGGCTCTGCAGGTAAGATAAGCAATTAGAAAACTGTGCTGCAAAAGCTGGAAGATCTGTGAGGGCTGCTGCTGCAGTGGTTCTATGCAAAATAGTAGTAAAGCAGCCGGAAGTTGTTGGTGCAGCTAGTTGACCTGAAATGCCTGTTTCCTATCAGACCCATGTTGAAAATTGTATTGTTTCATGTGCTTAAAATTGAAACCCTCTAACAGTAATGCCTCCCAAATCTAGATTTCAATCTGAATTTTGCAAGTGGTCCCTATCTTTAGAATGAGGAGATCCAAAAATTCAAGTCCGAACCTTGACAAAATTTTGGATGTTTGAAGACCGGATTTTTAATTGGACTTTTTATGCTTGAGCCCATATTTACTTAAAATGCATCCTATACTAGTGTGGTATCTTTTGTGCCCCATGCTTAAAACAAAACAAAAACAAAAACACGCATCTTCTTTCATGAATTGTTAAATTATACTCACAACTGTTATAAATATAGTCTCTTTATTAGGGAGCCAGGGAAGCCTACAAAAGCATTAACTTCTGTTAACTCTGAGATATGCTTACAAGACTATCATAAAGCAATAAAAAAAATCCCAAATATTATTGTTAAAATAAATCAGCTAACACATAAATAACAGAGGTCATTGGTTTGGTAGGATGTAGTTCACACATTTGTCTATTACTATGATTTTGCTATACCTTATATGAAGCACATTTTTGCTATTGCACATTTAGAGAGAAACTATATGAAATATAATACATATGGTGCTAGAAACATTAATAAACCACTTTCTAGAGCATCTTGTCTTCAGTCTCTCTTGCTTAGTTTGTAAGTTCTTTGAAGCAGAGACTATTTGATTTTTTTGTATTGTACATGGCTGTGCATATTATTGGTGCTAAACAAATAATAAAGAAAATAATCAGATGAGCTGCTGAAACTCCTTAGCCATGATGATGCTGGAGCAACATAGTAATGGAAACTATACAATAGAACCTCAGAGTTACAAACTGACCAGTCAACCATACATCTCATTTGGAACTGGAATTACACAACCAGGGAGCAGCAGAGACAAACACATGAAAAAAAAGGAAGTACAGCAGAGTACTGTGTTAAATGTAAACTATTAAAAAAAGGGAAAGCAGCATTTTTCTTTTGCATAGTAAAATTTCAAAGCTGTATTAAGTCAATGTTCTTTCAAAAGTTTACAGCTGAACAACCATAACATTTTATTCAGAGTTACAAACATTTCAAAGTTGTGAACAACTCCATTCCTGAGGTGTTCGTAACTTGGAGGTTCTACTGTAGTTTATAATCTGAAAACCCATCTGAAAATATTTTCGTTATTCCCCCCCTCCTCTACAAAACAATAGAGGCTTTTAACTCAGCCAGTTCTTTAAGAGCAATAAACCATGTCCACCAGGTTGGAGTAGTGTCTTAAATCACCCCATCTTTGGAATGATCCACTCACCCTTCTGCCTCATGCACATGTTGGTACTATAGCATCAGACAATCTCTCTCCACACCCTCGCATGCCTCAGTGTTTAGCAGTTCTGTCTGATGTTGTCACCATCACATTCAAGGAGAACCAGAAGGAGAATTCTACTAGAGGATAATGCTGCTGATAAAAGTTATGTCCCTGCTAGCTTCTTAGATGTTCTGGACTTACCTGGCAAGCTATGCTTTCCAGTGTTGCAGTTTTTACTGTGATACCATAACTACTGTGAACAGCAGCTGATTTTGAGACAGGAAACTACAGCAAAGACTGTCCCTAAAGAAACAGGAAACTGCAATGCATATATTTAATAGAGAATACACCAATGAGAAAGCAGCTCAATAGGTAGGATGTATGTATTCAGAATTGAAAAACAAATCTGCTTTACTTTTCAGGCACTAATTTTTGTCTTCCACTTTGTCCTATTAATCTTGGTTTGGCAGCAAGAAAGTGGGCAAAATGACTGAATAAGCCAAGGTGCCCAAACTTCGCCCATCTGAGGTTCTTACTGAGGATCTGATCCTACTGGCTGAAGTATCAGAAATGCATTTTTTATTCCAGCCTTTCTCTGGCAACCTCCCATTGAATCAGATGGGAATTGGTCTGAGCAAAGCCTGAGTATAAAGTGGAAAGGATCTAAGGGTTTGGCCCAGCAAGAATCAATTCACTTCAAAAACTGTAAATACAGATTTAAAAAATGTATTTATATTCACCCAGTTACAGGGGCAAGTCATTCAATGGGCATTTTGCTTCAGTAAGGACTACAGGATTTGAGCCACAGCATGAAAGTATAATAGAATATGCCTGATATGTAAATGTATATATAGTTATCATTTCCTATGAATTGAAACTAGGACCTGCTCCCACTTAAGTTAAAAGGCGGAAGTTCAGGCCCTTTGAATCTTTTAAGAAATAATCCTGGCTTAATGTGACTATTGCACAGTTGGCTAATCTATACAGATCCTCTTTTTTGATGTGGGTAAGACAATTTGGTTTTGCCTACATTAATTCTCATAACATCTGAGTTTGCATGGGAGTGAGTCACTTCTGCATTTGGGAAACTGGTACAACTTCACACCAGATTTCTACACACTGGGTAACACAAACAGATGGCCTGTTTGCTGATTCAGGTTAAATACCAGGAGAAATTAAATATAGGTCTTGGTGGCTGTAGCGGGGCAACGACTCACCACCGCAGCACCTCCTGCTGGTCATCCTGGGAATTAGCTCTGTCCATTCAGGAGCACCCTCTGCAGGCCAGTGTCTCACTTGCCGTTGGCCCCAGTGTCCTTCTCTTGGGGTTCTGCTGCCTGCAGTACCCCAGTCTCACTGGGTCTCCTCTCCCCAGAGAGCCTCCAACCCTCTATCTCCACCTTGCCTCAATCTTTAGCTACTGCCAGTCACCATCTAGCCCCCACTCACTGCATCAGACTGCAGTATAATTGCCACTCATCATCAACTAGGAGGGTCTGGATCTGCTGCCTTTGCCTACCCTTGGGCTGCCCTTGCAACCCCCATACCCTTCCCAGCCTTTAGCAAGGCCTACAGCCTGGGAGTTTTCCAGACCAAAGCTCCCCAGCCCTGCTCCAGTCTAGGTACCCTGCTCAGCAGCCAGACCTATCCCTCTCAATAGCTAGAGAGAGATGATCAAGCTCTGGCTAGCAGCCCTTTTATAGGGTCAACTGCGGCCTGATTGGGGCATGGCCTCAGCTGAGGCTGCTTCCCCAATCAGACTTTCCCCAGCCACAGCCCTCTCCAGGACTGTTTTTAACCCCTCCGGGCAGGAGCAGGGTGACCACCCAGCTACAGTGGCATATTTCAAAATCTTGAACTAGGATAAACAGCAAATACAGGCTCTGTTGAATCAGAAGACAATACCAGAGAGCTCTTTTCTGTTTGATTCAAAGTTTTGGATCCTAGTTTCCAGCCAGAACGAGACACAACATTTTAATATACGGTGTTTGCAGTGATGGGCTGGATACGTTGAACCTAAAATCACTGAATAGTTTCAGACTGAAGGATGCCTACAAAATGGGGTCCAGACACTGATCCCCAATATGGCAATTGGGTGGCTTTCTGCAAGCTGGGATGGTGGGCAGATCAGGGCATTATTCTGAAGGAAATTTCAGTCAATCTTTCATTCTGCTCACTGTCAGAAACATTCTCTAGCTTCCAGAGCTTCTGACTCACCTTTCGCCTGCCCATTGTGGACTCAGGAGGAAACTGGAGGAAGCTCAGTTTTTCTGTTGAAGGTTCTCATTGTGCAGTGAGAAAGAAGCAATTTGTTTTTATCATTGTAAAATGTTCAGATTGCTGTTTTTCCCCCCCCTTGTATTATGTTGTATATCAGCTACTATTACAAATTTCTTCACTGTGCGCTGATCAGAAAAGGAAGCAGAAAAGGAGATGATGCATCATACACTGTGCAAGAAAACACACTTCTCATAGGTGCCTGCGTGTACCAGGGTTGAATTTGTCCAGTGTCTGTGTCCCAAATTCAAAGAGATGCTGTCACTGTTGGATTGGGCATTTGTCATTGAAAAAGAGAAACTGAAAAGAAAAGAAAAAATTTACTGTGTGTAAAATGCTTTACATAGGAAGTAGATGGCAAGTATTTTGTTTAAAGCTTTAATATTTTTATTTAGTTTGGGATTAATAAGTGCTTCCCTCATTCCTCCCTGGGGTGCATGTACAAAAGCTAAAAGCAACAAATGTAATTTATTGGCAGCACAGCCGCTGACTTTTGTTTTTCCCAGGGGGTGCTCCACCCCTACTCCATGGCTCCACTCCCCCTCCCCCTCTTCCCCCTCCCCCGAGGACCCCGCGGTCCAACGCTTGCTCCTCTCTGCTCCCTCCGCTGGCCATCCTGGGGCCCGCTGAACAGCTGATCTGCGGCCAGCTCCAGGGCCACGGAACTACTGTTGCTGGTGGGTGCTGAGCACCCCCTATTTTTTTTCTGTGGGTGCTTGAGCCCCGGAGCATCCATGGAGTTGGTGCCTATGATTGGCAGAAGACAAGACCAAGATTCTCAACCCAGATTAAGATTCTTCAAATGCTGTCTATAATTGCCTGCACAGGAAGAAGACTTGGATGTCCTGATTCTGCAAGTTGCTTGGCACCCTCAACTACTGAGAGGTGAGGGGACTTGGCACCTTGCAGGATTGAGACCTGAGTCATGTCCTGAAAATCAACAGATTTGGCCTCTGATTGGCAAATGAGATGATGTTCATTCCAGAGTTGAGGGTCTTCTACTAAGAATAATATGCCTCCACAGATGTATTCATTTAGGTGCTCAGCAAAAATTACCCAACTGACTTCATCTGTCTCATCATGATGGCAAAATAATATTACTAAGCAGCTCATATAAAAGCATTAGGATGTGACAAGCTATATAGTCTAATGGATTGAATATGGACTGGAGGCCAGGAAGTCTAATCCTGGCTCGGCCACTGACTCACTTTGTAGCCTTGAACAGTCATTTAACTTCCTTAAACAGAGCTAATAATACTGGTTTACATATCTCACTGGGGTGTGGGAAGATTAACTAATTAATGTTTGTAATGCTTTGAAAATAAAAAATTGTATACATGAGCTCAATGTTATTAAGGATGAGCAAACAAACAGGAAACAGTCATCATTTAGACACTACAGTTCTTCAGCAGCATAAGGAGCAGAAGCAGTTGCAGAAGCAGTTGCTAGCGTAAGCTCAGCAACATCCCTTATGTGGATAAATAGATAAGAGCTGGCTTTCTACATCTAGATCTGACCCTGACTAGCTATGTGATCGTGGGCAAGTCCTTTCACCTCTCTGTGCCTCATTTTCTCCATCTGCAAAAGGAGTAACTATTCTTGTAAAGTGCTTTGAGATCAATCGATGAAAAGTCCTATTTACAGATAAGCAGTGTTAGTATTATTTCAGTGCATTAACAATTTGATGACCTTCCCTTTATACAGAATGTTTTATTGGAGTAGGATCTGTGTGGAAAACTTGGCTTGCTTTTACTGAATATTGTTTACTATTTCGGTTATTCATATTTTGTAGGTGCATGGCAGTACAGCAATTAAATATCCTCCAACGTAGATAATAAAAACAGACCCCATGAAGTGAGAACCTTCTCATCCCACTAGGCACCCCTATACCATACCATACACCACCTAACCCACCACACTCCTCCTTGGAAAAGCCTTGAAAAAAAAGTTTGTTATGTAGTGTACTCTGAAGAAGACAAAATCCAGGTTCTGGCACAGCAAAGTGAGAAGTGTATTCCAGAGCCAAGTATCCTTCGCCAATAAAACCCTGCCACCAGCTCACTACTACTTGCCAGGGGACGCTATAATCTTGTAGCCTTAGATAGGGCCGTCCTTAGGATTTATGGGACCCTATGCAATATTATTAAACTGGTGCCCCTATGCCTGACGGCAGCCCGGGCTCTGAGCCCGGGGAGCGGGGGGAGGAACGAGGCAGCAAAGGATACCGAGACGCCCAATTGCCTCACGGCAGCGGAGACTCACAGTTCTCCGCAGAGAGCCTCATACCCTCTCCCTCATTCAGAATGTGCAGCGCCGACGCATTCGGCTCTGTGAAAATGGCCCCTGCCTCAGGAGACTGCAGTGAGCACTGGGTGTGCGGGAACCGACCCACTCTTACCTACTATCATGGGCAGTGGGTGAAGCTGCCATTTGGGAAGGCTAGTTCCCCAGCCCACATGTGGCCCCGCCCATATTCCACCCCTGCTCTGCCCAGGCCCCGCCCTCTCCCCACTGTCTCCCTTCTCTCTTCCCTCCTCCTCCTTGATTGCCCTCTTCCAGCCAAATCCCTGAACCCAAATGAAGCAAATGACATTTGAAAAAAAATACTCTTCTGCAATTTCTTTCTAAAGAAAATGGAGCATGTTTTCCAGTGCATGCCAGAAGGTATAGACTGAACATGCTGAAGGTACCTAATTAAAAGCACTAAACTTGGGAATAAAAAATGTCAGTCACGGGTTTTTTGATATACCCTGAAGTTTGTCAGAGATTTATTTGCAAAAACTTTGTAGTAAGGGCAAGTCAGTTGTCTTGCTGAATACAACATTAAATATTATGGCATACATGATGCAGCTCTTCTCTGTTTTACATTTTCTTAATCAGTATTTCTAAGCTGATTTTATATTTTAAATGTACTCTTAAACCTTCATAAAGTAATCATTCCAGATTACTACATATTTAACTCACTGAAACAAAGACATTATTTTAAATTAATCAGTCACAGAGGTTTAGTGTGTTCATA